TGTTTGGTATATGCACATCCTTGACCGGCATTGCAAAGCATTACTAATTGCATGCAATATCTGCTGGCATTGATGTAGGTGACAGGGATCTAAGCAGTTAGCTCGCTACCACTTGAAGACCAATGTGGCACAAGGTAGGTACAAGAACACAGAGTTAACTTTGCGGTCCCAATATCACGTCAAACGAAGCAAGAGCCGGTCTTACAGGGCTTATGGGTGATCCTGGGGCATGCACAGGGTATTAAGATTTTCTGGTAATTTTACTGTACTGTTGTGGTGAGCGCCGATGACAACGCTGTTGGATGCAAAATGAACCATCGATCCTGTCGGCAGCGGTGGGAGCAGCCGAGAATTTTCGCAGCTTCTAAAAATAATATTCGCCAGGGGTGTCGAAGGATGTGAATGTTGGCACCAAAGACCCGGGTGTCTGGGTGTTGGTTGCATCGATCGAGGCGCAAGTGGCTTGTCTTGGAAATTTTCTCTTTAAAATTTCCTCTCGCGAATCTTATGACGTCTTCTGTTCATGGTGCCACTTTCTGAACGCGGATATACTGCTTTAGTTAAACCCGGAAGTTGTGTGGTACGTTTGTCTCGATTCCGAGACATTGATCATGGTGTATCATTCACCAGGAGACGTGGCCGGTGTCTGTAGCCTATTCCTGCCACCTGAGCACAGCCACGGTAGGTATTGCTACTATCACCCGAGACCGAGCAGGTCGGCCGTCATATGGTTAGTCCAAATTAGCACGTAGTTTATGTTCGTGGCTGCACGATCAATCGATTTGAGGCTTCATGTTGTGAAACAGCGCTGACGTCGAGGTTTGGAGTCGTATCGGCTAACCGAAAGTGGTTTGATCGAGCCTTACTAATACCGACAATTGATTAAAGGATATCCTCGCCACCTTCGAAGTCGATACAAACATGTTTCAAAGCACAACAGGTAGAATCAAAACGCTAGAAATCTTTCTCGAAATTTCCACCATCCGCTTTGTCGTATAAGTTGGAGAAACGAGCGGCAGAACGACCTTGCAATATATTCGTGAATCATAAATGAGGCGGTGCTGAATGGATCCAGACTACTAATCCATTCTGTTGTATCCGTACCGCTGTAGGAGTTTCTCCACAATCACTAATGATGTTGGCGGAGTTGCTTCCCTTGGATCTTGATCAGATTGTCGTATCGTTCACTAACGAGAACCGCGAGCTCGTCGTTAGGTAGCTACGTAGTACCGGCTCTCCGATTGCTCGTTTGAGGAGGATTTTCTATGACTAATCATCCAAATAGCCGTGGGTAACATTGGACAGTATAAAGTTATGCTTCCAAAAATACTGTGGTGAGTAACATGGATAGGTCTATGTGCATGGAATCAAATGCAGAACCTCCGGAGATTCGAATATCTGCATAGCGTTGGTAGCTGGGGTTGCAATTCTTATCATTGAGTTCGGTATGTCCCTAGTCTGTCCCCAGGATCCTAGAGATTTGAAGTGTGACTTGTCGCGTGAACCAGACGCTGGACGTAAAGGTTTGGATCGCCCGGTGGAAGTATCTCCAACCCAGATCTTCTTCCTGCTCTTGGAGCGTGCAATCCAATCTTATCTTCGTCTTTACGGACAGCACCGGTAGACCCACAGTCGGGCTTATGTCGAAGACAAGCGAAACTGTCTCGTATCTCCCACGGTCGCCACCATTAGTGGGTTTGAACAAGTTTACAATAGATCTAGGGGTATTTACGCCACAGATAGGGGTCCCCAATGGCATGTTGCGGTCTCATCCAGTGCCGCTGAAGCTCGACTGATAAGGTCATTCGAACTGCGGTTGCGTACATCTTTATTGCCTGGGCGTTGCCGAGAATACTGGTGCCACCTTTTATGAGATACCTCGCACCATCGATTATCTGTCCAAGTGTTTTGTCCGGTCGTCCATATTGTTCTACTTGAAACACAGCTGTTGGTTGTGTCAACTGTCTTGTACGCACGGAGACTCGGTAGCTGGCTGTTGGTGGCGTCTGGGTAGGAGAAATCTGTGGAGTGTAAGCAATGTGCGACGTATGCGCTTTTCTTCCGGGCGATGCATTGCTCTGAATTAGCCGCCCTGAGAGGTGTCGGTTGCCAGATGTGGGACATTTTGGTGTTATCCGCAGGTGGATGAATAAATCCTGGGTCAGTCTCATCCCGTTATCCAAAACGTTGCACCGTTGAGGAATGATCCTTGAAGAACCCGGAGGGTTGGTGTTGGCGGTCTGAGTTATCGGGCTGCCGTTACTCTGAAGTTCCAAGGAGCTCATCTAAGAGCTCGGGAGTCTTTTTCCCCCCTGATCAGAGATTCTATGAATGATGTCGGAGGGGCGTGTCGTGGCCGTGCTGGTAGTATCGCATTCTTGCTGAGGAGTGACTTGAGATCCGACTGAACTCATGATTTAGAGTGATAGTGTGTGGGCGTGAGCTCCGAGTCGGAGGTGTTCAAAAGGAATTTCGAGTCGAAGGCTGGTGCCGAGGATACTATATGAAGTACAAGCATCTCCACTCCACCTCAGTACTATATTATATAAACGGTTTCAAGATTCCGGTACTGGACTTGGGATTAAGAGGTGGATGTTCTCAGCGGTGGTACGATGCCATGCCGCTGAGAATCTCGCAAAAACAATTCTGGTAAAATGAGGAGCTATCTGCTCGTAGCTTTAGCGAGGTGGCCTATGGATTTCTTGTGACTTGCACCCGTCCAGTCATACATCTCATCGGGTAATCAAAAGCCAGCTTGTGTTATCGGATGTCTCGCTCACACACCGGCTTTCTGGCATCTTGCGCTCCATCGCTTGGAGAGATTCGTCTAGGTTCATGAGTACGTTGTAAGCATGTTGTAAAAGCCAATTTATGCGACCATCACGACAACACAAAAGCGTGTGGTTGGTCCAATCTCCGAGTTGTTGTAAGCCCAAATTGGCAATATCGCTCGTTTCGGGGTTCATTTCCAAGTTCGGCATAGCAAGGATAACCAGCTAGAGCTGCCACCCATTTTAAGTCGCGAAGCCCTGCGATTTGCCAAGGAAGCGATGCAGAATCGGATTGGGTAGCACGTAACACGGTCCTCGCGGCGCGGTTGGATTGCTGGATCTGGATCAAGGCGGCGGCACAGGCGGGTTAACTGCGCAAACAGTGCATCTGGTTAAGTACAATGCATAAACTTCAGGCACGATTTCTCAAGAGTGGTTTCTGCCAAGGAGAGCGTGAGCCACACGTGTACACATGAAATTAGGTCCCGCGTGCTGGATCTTCTTATTCTATCTACACTTAGTTCTGCAAATTCGTCATCACGATCAAGTTTCATCCGAACCACGCGACAGACCACGCTATCTGGACTTGCGCTCGATATCCTCGTATGTTGAGTCTTAGCATTATCGAAGCATTTAAACTTGCTATACCTAGCGCTACAACCCGAAAGATGACTTCGTTGGGTCTGTGGGAGCAGGTTCTGAGTAACCTGGCTGAAGGTCTTACCGCCGCCAACATCAACGATGCGGAAGATATCTTCCGCCAACTATTGGCTCATATGCCTAGAGAGCAACTGAATCGTCTTGATATGGGAAATTACAACCGAACTGAGCGAAGGTTTATCGACGAAGAAAGAGTTAATCGGGCACGGGCAAGAGCAGATCTCGCCGCGACGAACCAACCGGCACCAAGTCAAACACAGACCAGTAGCTCCGACACGAACGCTTCCGGACCGCCTCCAGTGCACAATCACGACGGCCAAGCATCAAACCCTTCGAGTGCCCAGCCGACCACACCAAGGGCGTCGAAAAAAAAACCTCAAAGTTGGTATATGTATCCGCAATACCATCCGCAAGTCGCCGAGAGGGTCGCCGATGTTCCATTCAACCCATCCGACGCCGATGACGACGGCTACAAGGACAAAAATGTTATCGGTTCATTCAAGTGCTCCAACCGAGGGTGCCGGAACGTCTGGACAAGCGGAATTGTGGCGGCTATGGTTCGACGATACAATCATCCACAGCTAAGCTACAACGTCAAAGTCTTCAATCAACGATGCCGAAATTGCAATGCGTTAGGGATTATGAAAATCGATACAAATATCTACGCGGAAAGGGTGGCACGGCAGATAAAGATTTGGAAGGGGGAGCCAGTTCCTAGGGTGCCTTACTTTAAGAAGAAGACTCCCCCACATGAAACGGAGCATTGTGAAGGCTGTAAGGCTGGGCACTGCCACGCGGACGAATAATTAATTGTAGGAACGCGAGGACGACTTGGGCGATCCTGCTATTCAATGGCTTATGAGTCTTCAGGGTCTACTCAGGGTCAGCGAAGCACATTTTCTGGATCCTTGTTTTTTGTTTGATTCTACGTCTGTCTATCGGTGTTTTATCTGCAATATATGGCATTAGGGTTGTTCTGTACCATCCCGATTCTGTTCGCGTACTATGGTACGTATCCTGTACGTTTCTGGTTGTTAGCCTGATTAGAAGATCAATTCTCGAGGTGTATCGCTAAGATGAATTTTAAGCCGCTGGTTTTGCTCTGAATTCAACCGAGTCTAAGTAATCTGTGCCGAAACATCAGGTGGTATACGTGTCCCGGTAAGTATCGAAGGCCGGCCTGATAAGCTGGCTATGTCTAGAATCGGTCTCATTCCAAGTGACAATTGTGTCAAATTGGTTATATTATTTGTAAAATATAATCATTCATCGAGGTGTAGATATCAATTGAACGCGGTGACTCCTCATTTCGATCTCTTATCTATGATCGGAGTTAATGCAGGATCAATCTACATTTGCTATTTCTACTCATATGTAAGCGATATACGAAGTCACAGGCAAATTGACAAAAGACACTGTCACTACATCAATGATGAGGGCTTAGTCCACATCTTCTTCGTCTTCTCTGCAGTAACAATTTAAACGAGGAGCAATTTGGTGATATCCCGGCATAAGTTACCTTAAGTTTGGCTGAGACGCGGCTTGCATCCCAAGTTGTACCACGACCTATCCGAATTGGTCCAGCGGTCAGGATCTCCCGCTCTCATACAGAGCTCGGATCGGCAAAAGCCAATCAGGCGCCGGGAAGGCCCGGGTTCGACTCCCGGATTCGGAACCATTCTTTTTGCATTTTTTTTCTTCAAGCGAAGATTTTGTCCTTCCTAATTGATGTGTATGTGACCTGCACGACCGACTTTGACGCAGTAATTAACGAGCGGCTGGCGGTTCGAGCATAGGAACGACTTTATCGATCGATAGCACTGTATGCATGAAGCTCAGTATTAGTTTACTGAGGCCCGTAGGGCGCTGCGCATGATTTTTTTGCTTCTCCTAGGATCTGGATCATGTGTTGTCACGAACTGACAGACGGCAGCGTAGACGTCTACCAACAAGCCATGATAATTCTAGCCTGTTTTATGAACTCGAATTCATATCGCAACTTTGCATGTCTCAATTGAGCCCCGGAGGGCATAGTATTATGACTTTGTTGTCGGTATCCGTGGTAAAAAAAAAATTTCGGGCCCAAAAATCGTGGGCTTTAAGAGGTTTCCGCCAAGATGAATGCCCTGTTACTCCATGAAGTTTGACCACACGCGATAGGTGATTGCTAATACCAATCTGAGCCGCTGGTAAAATCGGAACCATGTCTCTAATTGACTGCTTCTTTCATTTTGATGACATTGAGGGTCCTTGCATTCCAATATTCTCTGGGCCCAAGAGTCATTGGCTCACCAGGATCGCGCACTGTAGAAGTGACGCTGTCGAATATACTGTGCATATATACTCAGCATATACGTTTAGGTGTATGCGTTGATATCATTAAGCTTCTCGACCGAATTATGCAGAAATTTTGTCTGTGCAATAAAGTCAGACATCCATCCATACTCTGCTGGTGCTGTCGAATGAAAGACCGCTAGTTCTCGGATGGTATTTTTGATATAGGTTATTCTATACTATGATGCGTGAGAAGAGTTTAGAGTAATAGGTTGCCAACAGACTAATAGGATGTGTATGCATTCGATTATTCTTGACGCATTCTTCTTCGTACTGACGGAACTTACTCTTCTATTCACACTGCTGTTCCGATTAACCTCTAACTAGGCTAGTCATGTCAGACTTGATCCTATAATAGAAATCATTCATTGAATATATATATTGAGATTTAAATAGGATCCAAGATGCAAATACTAAGGCGCAAATATAGTGGTATATTATCATGCAGTAGAGAATTATCAGCACTATTAGAGAAGGCGTGGTTCTGGTCACGATAAGCGTACATGGCATAGAGGTGAATTGCATAATCTTCATAAAGGAAATGGGCCTTCGTAGCAGGGCTAGGTTTGCATTACATCTTTTGTTTCCAGGTATCTATGTAGGTATTCCTGCCGGCATGGTCACCGCTTGTGAGTAGATACTATGGTTAGTGTACATATTCTGTGACCTGTTGTCGTTATGGCTATGGCTTGGGTCGAAGCCATTGGGCGGTTCTCAACAAGCTTGTGGAAACTGTGTATGCCTCAAATCAGGGTCACCTTCTGCCATAGCCTGCCACCTGCCTCCAGGTGGTTGAAAAACATGTTGTCCTTGTGACTGCTCGAAAGAGAGCCCACATGTCGGGCTGTTAGGAGTAAAATGCTTTTACCGTCATGCATGTATGTGCACAGCTAGGTGCACAGGGTCACATAGGATCGCAGTCATTGATCCATGGCGTAGCTTATCGGGTCCCTCGACTTGAGGCCCGATAGAAAATATGGACTCGTGTTCCCGCCAATGCCCAGGGTCCGCACTATTTCTACGAATACCCTGAATTCCCAAATTGATCATCACGTCTTCCGTTTACTGGGATAAGTCGTGCGCGAGGCTGAAGTTCTTATCGTAATGGTTGATAGTTAATCATTCCCATCGCAGAGCCGTACGCGTACGTCCTCGTTCCTTAATAGTACCTCTTTGCATGCGGTCTGCCTTTTGGCATTTTGGTTTCCATGTCTATTAGATTGGAACCCTGGGGTCAAACAAAAGTATTTTTTTGTTACTTGTGACTAACTTCCGCTCCTTCCGTGATGACGGCATAATACAATTCAGCTTATTAAGCATATATTATTAATGGTCTGAAGCGTTTGCGTCGATAAGCCCGGTTGACGTGCGTAGGGTGTGATTGAATCTGTATATATATATATATATATATATATATTGGACCACATGTTCGATCTAGTCGATAAGACTTAAACATGGATGTAGAATTTGCATTTTGCTCCCGTCCATCAGTAGTATCGAATGTCGGTTGAAGTGAGAATGAGGTGCCACAAATGGGTATAGAGCTGTTAAGTATGATAGTTGGATCATTATCGCTGTTAGGGGAAGAGGTTTTCACGCTTCTTGATGCTGGTGCATATAAGTCCAACTGTCAGGGTTTGTGAGTGCGGTTGAGGAGAGTCGGCTTTTATGTGCTTTGTTCATGTAACTACGAGTCATGAAGGAACGTCACTGATCGATGTAAACAACATCAAGTTCCGAGCTGTAGCAATGGAGATCCTGCGGTCCCTGTATCTGCGATGACAAGCTAGCCCTAGATATGCTTCTCTGGACCATTGCGATAGAGCTTATCCCGAGCCTCGATGTGCTCCATAGAACGGGAATGAAGCTATGTCGGGTCGTGCTATATATATAGATGCATAGTATAGTTAGATTCTACATATAATACCGTATATCCCTTGAGAGCGGCATCATATGTTGTTGCATGAGTTAGAAGACAGCCTCTTGGCCTGATGGAGCCGGATTTGTCGGGACAGTGAGAGTTGCTGTTGCATACAGTAACCAGAGCGAGACTGTCGGAAACCGTACCATAGGGCACAATATATCCTCATGATATAATCGAGGGGCCTCAAGACTTGTCTCGTGAACTAGATGCCGGACGCAGAACTCGAGACCATATTGGTTGATCCTTCCACATCTGCTGCGCCATCTAAAGACCTCCTGGTGCATTGTCTCGTCACCCGCGTCGAAGTTGTTGCCATCACTGATCTTGTGCTTTTGAAAGCTGCATTTTCGCGCATGTCTAGACCTGCTGGATACACCATGCGGGCCGATGGCCGCATGGCTGCTGCCTCGATTATCGGAAGCTTCGTCACGCCACTCTGACACATTACGCGGGAGGGAATACGCTTGAAAAAGCTCAGCTCTATTGACTACTCGCAATCCGTGTTTTGGTCTGCCGCATTCCGTGGGCAGCGATAGCGTTTTACAGATTCCATGGTCTCGTAAGCCATCCCAAGATGTTGAAACTTTGATCGCCGAAGAGTTTGGTATTCGGGATCAAGTATGCATATGAAAAGCTCATCAATACAACATTATATAAACTTTCATCAACGCGTCGACGATGCATTTTGAGGAGTATATATTTGCTCAAAATCAATTAACTGTCGATGCTGAACAGCGTACGAATACTGGGATCTAGTGGTGTTGATATTCATGGTGGAAGGCGAGTTTCTCTTCGTCGTAGTATACGGTCATCGCTTATATAAGTTGATTAGGAGCCGAAGTTACCTGGCCATCTGCGGCTGGTGCTGTATTGCTCTACAACAGAGATATATAATCATTTAACAAGTTGCGCACTTATCGTGTTGGGACTGATAGAGCGCACATGCATGGACGCATCTACTTCATCGATGCTCGCCACATGGATCCTGCTTTTCTGTGGATCTAGAAAGAATAGCGACTGTGAACGTATTGCTCATGCAAAAATCATATGTGGAGTCGTATGCGCAGTGCTCGCATCTCAAAGGAGTGATACCGTGCGTCTGACTTCTCTGCTTTCTGTGGATATGTGATAGTATATATTGAGATAAGACATCCCCTCGCCTGCCCGGGGAAAGAAGAAGATAAATCAGATGACATCCGAAGCTTTTAGCAGTGAACTCCTTGGAGCCCTTGGGCCATCGTATACGGTTATGATTACGCCATCAGCTGGTTCGATGAGGGTATATATAAAATGTGGTATATGCATATATATATATATATATATATATATATAGGGTGCTTTCATTGGTTGGCTCTCCCCATGCGATAAACTCAGGGATTGCATTAGGGTGAATATTCGAAGGCTTATCTAGGATATAAAGTTGTGCACTATATTTTGGCTTGAGGTTGTTGTGTGAGATGATAGAATAATATCAGCAGGATGAGACAGTGACACGTGTGGCTGATGTGAATGCTGACCTAAGGTCAGCTGGAGCAGACTTGAAGCCCCCGGGAGAATGGACCAGCAAGTGGGACAGATAGTGATATTACTGTATAGTCTTAGTTACTGTTTTCACCAGTTTTCCAGTATATTCGATTCACATCTTAAAGCTAGCTTCATTTTGGACGAGAATATATTTTCAGGTGCCGGTGCAGGACGCGTTACTATAAATGCTAGGATTACGAAAGACGACTACATACATATGCATGGTATATTATGAGGTACCTAGAAGATACTGGTGGCATTCTCAATAAACTTATGCCAAGCGAGATACTTCCGAGCCGCCACGAGGGGTTTCGGCTGTCTTCTGCATCCCGCGCTGGGGGTTCAATCAGCCTCCAGCACTTTACCCACGGCCTGCGGCTACAAACTTCGATTGCGCCTCATCGAAGACAGTAGTAATCGATCAATCCAGCGGTTTCAACAATGCAAATAACGTCGCCCAGATCAGCGCTAAGCTATATCGGGAACCATTGGCTCGCTTGGCCATTCTTAAGAAGACTTTCAGCCTTAGCTTGGCCATCTTGGCGACTTCCAGCTCACAACCTGAGCTAGCTGAGTTAAAAATGGAATTTAGCAGGGTAAATCTCGCAGCTGGTATAAGATATCGAAGCTGACCAGTTCCCCTCCCCGCTAGGAGATCTTCTTTCCCACTTTCCGCCTTTTCGTCGTTCCGTTCTCGTCGTTAGGTTGAAGTTAGACGTCGACTTCTCGAAGTTCGCGTGCGGCGTCAGCTCTGCTTTGCTCCACAGGCAAGCTCGGATATACAACAATGGCAACACTTCTGCCGCACCCGGCTCGACTCCTCATCTTATTCCACTGTCTGTTCCTCGCGTTCGCCGCCGGCACGACCTACCGTTGCGAATCCCAGGCCAGCC